TTTAATCTTCATCATTTTCATCATATACCGTTGCATAGCAACAAGATTTTACGAACATCCAATATACTAAGCACATGAAATAAATATCAAAGTTCATAGATGAATGATCGTAGTATATATCAACAAAATCATAGTATTTCCAAACAAATACATCATACAATATCAAACAATATGAGTATAAGATTACTAAAGATAGGTATACTACACTGAAAAAAACTTTCATGGGAAAATTCTAATGCGTAGGGATGGCATACCGTACCGTACTGAAAATACCGGTCGATACCGATACCGTACCGAACTTTTCGGTATGACGGAAATACATACCGGTACCGTACCGAAAGTTTCAATATACCGAATTTCGGTATACCGAAATTTTTGGTACGGTACCGGTATATACCGTTTATACCGAAAATTTCAATTTTGGTACGATACCGGTATATACCTCTATACCGAAAATTTTGATTTCGGTAGATACCGGTATATATCGAAAATATAATTTTAAATTTCAAAATAATTAAAAAATTAATAAATATCATCATTCTCCACCACAAAAATATTATGAAAAAATCAATAAATTTTCAATAGTTTACATATTTTTTGTTATGATTTAAGAAAAAATTAATAATTATTATTTATATTAATAATTAAATTATTTAATTAAAATAATATCGGTAAGGTATCATACCGAAATACCAAACTCTCCGAAAATTCATACCGATACCATACCGAAAACTTCGGTACGATATCCATACCGTACCGAAATTTTCGGTATTTTCGACACGATACGGTACGATAAGTCGGTATTTCAGTATGTTCGATAAATTTCTCCATCCCTACTAATGCGTACTACTAGAAAACCACATTCTGACTATACCTAAAAATAAAAACAAAAAAAAGATATCCAAAAATCAAATAAGAACATCGATTGATCACAAAAATTATTTTAAACAATACAGTTACTTATAACATCAAATATATAATCAATCATACCTGAGTTCTGATCTTCATGTTCAACTGAACGTGGGTGGGATTGATCGCTAGCCCTAATAACACCACCATAATCAACAAATAAAATTATCGCACCGAAAGAATATCACACGCAGAGGAATTAAACATTTGCCTTACCCGTTTCTCTCACGTACAAAATAAACCTAAAGCTTGAGATTTGGATTCAGAATCCATCAAAGATTAGCCATTGATTATAGAATCCTTCGCACGATGAAAATCAACATTGGACATATGAGCCTTCCTTCGTGCAAAAAAAAAAACCTAACGTTGGAAAAATAAAAATTGATAAAATGAATTTTTGATTGAGACAAGGGTAATAATGGAATAAGGTAGAAGTAAGAAGTTAATAGTAAAAGTTTTTAAGAAAGAGGAAGTATTCTTGCATGTAAACTACTAAACTTGAAAATAGAAAAAAATATTTAATTTCAATTGTCCGTTTAAAAATCATACAAAATAATACTATCATATATACTATATATTTGGAGACGAAAGTTGTTCGCCACGTATCGCACTTTGGTTTTTTATTTTTTTTCAATTTTTGGTGGTGGGACCCACATGTAATTATTATGTATTTTCTCCGTCCCATATAATATGGGTATAGTAACGTAGATACAATAATTTATGTAAAATATAATTAGTAAGTAATTAAGAAGTGTATTAGTAAAAATAATTATTGTATAATAAAAATAATTATATATTAAGATTAAGTAACTAAATAATTTAATTAAAATTTAAAAAATTCTAAAATTTAAAAGTTAAAATATGATTAAAGTGTATAATTATATTTTTTAAAAAGAAAATGACAAATTATGTAGGACAGACAAAATAGAAATAAGAAAAAATTATATGGAATGGATGATGTAATAATCATATATACAATCCTTTGTCTGTTTAAATTATCTATTTTCGTTTCTTAAATTTTTCATGTGATTTTTTTTTTTAATTTTTTTTAATTTTGAAATGGTGAAAATGTAATATATAATTAAATTTTATTTGATTTTCTTAATTAATTAAACCTTTCTAAATAATATTTAATTTTTTTACATTTGTTTTAATTATTTACTTATTTTTTATGTGGACTTATTTTTATTTTAAGTATATTATGTGCATTGTTTTTTTTAAAAAAAAAAAATTATATGTGAATCTCAAATTTAATTTAATGATAATTTTTTATTTTAATTAATTTATTATATTTTATTTTAATATTGTCGGAGTTCCAAGATAAAGATAAAGTGGTGGAGTTCATTTTTTTGAAAAAAAAAAAAAAACCATTTTTATAGAAATATTGATTATATCACTAATATTTTTAGAAATATTGATTATATCACTAATAATATAATATACTCTTTTTATCCAGCAAAATACACAGGTTTGTTTGAACACTATAAGACTAAAAAATAGTGATGTTTTAATATTAAAATAAGATATGCAAAAAATAAAGTGATGATATTATGATAAATTTATTAAAATAATTTATAGAAATGATGGAATAAGTAAAAAAATAGTGACAATTTGATTATTATTTGTTAAAGTAAGAATGAAAAAATTATAGTAGGATAAAATTGTTTACTATAAATAAATTGTATATAAATTTAAAGGATAAAAAAAATGATGAAATAATTTTGACGGACATATAGCGTGTTCTGTTATATTATTATTTGTTTAATATTCTTTTGTATGACAAAATTTCACTTAAAATAATTATTGAATTTGATATAAATAAAATAAAATCGGTATTTTTAAATGTAAAGAATGTAATATATTATATATAAAAAATATGTATATATTTTGATATTTTTTTAGAAAATTTATATTATATTTTAATATCTCATCCGTACTGAATATATCGTTACGGTTATTATTCATAGGGAAACTAGAAGAAGTATAATTAATAAATAATTAAAGATATATTGGTACAATTAATTATAATATAATGCAATAATTATAAGTTAAGATTAAGATAAAAATTAGTCTAATTAAAATTAAAAATTTTAAAATGGTGTGTAATTATTATTTAAAAAATAAAAATGACAGGAGATATGAAACATACATACATAAAAAATATGACATTAATGTGGGATGAAGAAAATAGTAATTTTGTTTACTTTGTATGAATATATTATTTTGTCACCGCATTTTTCAGTTTTATTGAAATTGTATCATATTTTAATAGGATATATCAATGTAAATAAAAATAAATATTGTGATATGTGATAGAATTTACATTTCATAAAAAAAAAATTGATAATTTGTATTTGAATATTGGAACAATTGTAAATTTATTATTTTTCAAACCAATAAGATGAATATGTTATTCTATATGAATAATAAAATAGGCGGTTGAAAATAAATAAACAAATAGTATAATTTTCACACTTTGTCACTTATTTCTATAATATAACTGGGAATTTAGAAAAATAAAAATAAAAAACATTATTATCAAAATAATTTTTTTATGTAAATATAAACTTAAAAAAAAAATAAATTTAGATAGATTATATACAATTACATACATTATAAAATACAAAGATAAAAAGATAATATATGGCATCGTTAATTTTTGTAAGAGGATAAAACATATGTTGGGAATCGTATTGAAAAAAAAAAGATGGTGGATGAACAAACTTCAAAATCTTTCTTATACACATTTATTTATTAATCTATTAAAATACTAAAATGGTACATGTGATTGGGATGGTGGGTATGATATTTAGATTATTATTATTATTTTAAAAAAAATATCAAATCAAAATTCTATTTAAATCAAACCATAAAGAAATATTTGATTTTAAATCAGAATCAAACAAACACAATTATACTCTTATAATACAAAATATAATAAACTTTAAATTGATTGTTTTTTGGATCAATTGCAAATTCTATAATTATTATTATTTTTTTTTTAAAAAAAAGTTAATTTCTTTTTACCTTTTTATTTATAATTAATAGAAAAAACCTTAATTTAATAACAACTATAAATGTATAAAATTTTTATCTTATTTATGTGTTATTTTTTTTGAATATATAAAATTAGAAAGATAAATATATTGATAAGATGATCAATCAAATTTTCAATAACAATATTTAAATTAGCTGATATAAATATATATATTATTCAGTATAGGATAAATAAGTAGATTATGCATTAGTTTTACTCCATTAGTCTGGATTTTTTATATCATATTGTTTTGATATAAAGACTAAAACTATTTTAATGAAAAATTTGATTTTTAAAAATAAATTAAGGATATTACAATAGATAAGTAGAGAAATAGTACAAAGTTGATCATTATTTGTTGAAATAAGAATAATAAAATTATGGAGGAATAAATTTTTTATTATAAATAAATTATGTATAAGTTTAATGGATAAAAAATATGACAAAATTATCACAAGTGGATGAAGTATTTTATAATTTAATTATATTAAAATGACAGTAACAAATTAATGAAATTTGACTTTGTCTTTATTCAAAAATCATCAATTTTTAACGATATAATAATTAGACACCCCTAATATTATATATAAACATCATTTTCCCAATATCTAAAATCTATCAATTTCTAATATTTAAAATACTAAACTTGATCGTGAAATATTTTAAAATATTAAATTATTATATATTTAATAATAAAAATTAATTTTAACAATTTAATAAAATTTATAACTACCGCAGTTCCCCTCTAGTATATAAAGAAAATAGAAAATTCATCTGTTCAAACCAGGATATCAAGAAAATAGAAAATTCATCTGTTCAAACCAGGACGTCTCAGGTCACCTGTTTCGCCTAATATGACTTGCCAGCAGGTATTAGGTTTGGCCGGATATTTACGGTGTACTCTCGAGTAGCGGCGGGCGAATTTTCACATAAATAAATAAATAAATAATAGAATGTATAATGGGAGATTATGTTGCAAAAATGGCTATGGGTTTGAAGATGTTTTAACACTGTATGTATGTATGTATGTATGTTTGTTTGTGTTTGTATCGTGTATGGATATTGGCCCGCTCATTCCTATCCACAGACGCGCAGGCGAGTCGACCTTTCCCTCCGACTTCTCCAAGTCTCCTCCAATCTTCCTCTCCCTTCCGTTCTCTCTCGTGTAACCAAATACACCACACCTGCATCCTTCACTTTCCGATTATTCCATTTCCTTCGCCAAATCTGGTAGCAATCCGCTCTCCACCTTCTTCGCCGCCCATTAATTCCAACTTGCTCGCACCACTTTTGCCTTACCCATTCTTTTTTCCTCCCACGATTTCTTCCTTTACCCTCTACTACTTTCTTCGCGCTTCGCTTGCGTCGCGGTCCCCCAATTTCAGTCCCACTCCGATTTCAGCCCCTCCACTTTTCGCCGGATCGTTCCGTCACCGCTCTACTCCGATAAGGTAATGGCAAAAAATTCTTCAACTTTTTTTGTTATTTCCCGGTGAGCGAAATTTCGAATGTGACGAATTGTTCAGTCAATATTGGTAGTCAAGTTCGTAATGGGAATGAAAAAGCCAATGTATTGAGATTTTGATTGCATAAAGGGGCCACATTTGTGAGTTATTAACTGATTTTAATTAAACGTTAGAGGTTGGCATGTATTGAATATAAGTGTAATCAAATTTTCCCTAATAGCAGCATTGTTTGAAATAGCCCTGGAGGAAGTAAGAGAAAGATATCATTGAATGGGTTTATTCCTTGGCAAGCTAAAACGAGTTTCTATACTAACTCTTGTGACCTAATTATGTGTTGGAATTGTGTTGTGCATGACACTGCATCAATTTTCTAGGAATCTTGAGATATTGTGTTGTGACGATTATGTGAATATGGGTATCAGGGTTTGTTAGATATGTTCTGGAAGTGTTACGAAGCTTTGGGTTGGTTTGGAAAAAGAGAAAAGTGTTTGATAACATATATAGGTGTTGGATTTTATGCATTATTAGATAGATAATAATATTTTAAATGAACATTTGGTTTTGAATGTGATGTTTTTTAGAGTGAATTTTTTGTGAGTAGTGCAAAAACATAAAAAAGTCGGAAAGCATAAGTAAATAGAGTGTTTGTGTTTGGATTTGGTTTTGGATGTTTTGGATTTGAAATTTTGAGAGGAATAGATGTCATGTTGTTGAAAATACAAACATCTCCAAATCAATTTTGGAATGGAAACTCAATTCAAAAGTCATAAAAAGTTTTTTTTTCCTGGAAAATCCGTGAAGTTTGTCCTACCTATAATATTTGAGATGGTCACTTCAGAAATTTAAGGATATTGCAATGGAAGTTTTGTGCCTTGGGTGTTATCTATTAAATTTGCATGCATTTTTACTTCTTAAGTTTAAATTTATAAATTGCTGAATAAGTGCCTTCAGCTAACTTCTCCATGTCCCTGTTCTTCTGCAGTCTTCTGCAGCAAATTGCAAAAAACATTCTAATCTAACTGATTTTTGAGCCCTCATGATGTCTTTCCCTCTTGTCTCCCTATCATCAGCCCCTAATATAGTGCCCGACGGAAGAAATTTTTTCCCTTTTATCCCCTGTGCTGGACTTGCTTTAGTTCCCTCCCCTCTTTGTAATCCATCTTTCTCTTGCTGTTCCTCCCCACGCTCCAATTTTAATCCCATTACCCTTCAACGCCATCATCTCTCGTGTTTCCGTTCAATTTCCAACATTTCTTTTACATCTAGCATCTCCAACATTTATGGTTCCATCCATAGTACCCGTTGCAATTCCTCGGCTGGTAATGATGAGTTAGGAGAATTTGATTCCGATGAAGATGAAGTCCACCTCGAGGTTGGCAATGACAACAAGGAATCCTCCCCCACCATGCAGGACAGATGGCATGTTTTGGGCCTTGGTCAAGCTATGGTAATTTTCTATCTTTTTCAATAACCTTTCTCAGTTATATTTATTTGTTCTTTCCTGTGATCCATGCTAGTTTTTCTTGCAAGATGCATTGCTTCAAATCCTTTTAGTCAATTTTAAAGATTTTTTATTTGTGTGTGAGTGTGTGTGTGCACGGACCCTCACAGCTGTATGCATCTCTCACTGCAAAGTAAATAGTTTAACCTAGAAAATTATATTCTTATTTCAAAGCTTTGACGTTCAAATTTGAAGTAATGTTGATGAATAGCCCAACCTGGATAGATTGTACGTGAAACCTTTGCACGCATAGGAAATTAGAATCTCAAAAGGGTTCAGCATTCAATTTGGTGTTAGTGGAGCCTCAGTGGTGTCACATATGACTGGTTGGTTGGTTGGTGATCTTTAATCATTCGTAATGAGATCAATCCTAGGTCATAACTGATTTGGTTTTGAGAAAAGCTAGTCCTATTTGCATAGAGAAGGAAGATGGACTAAATTGCATAAATTTAACACTATTCTTGGGCTAATGGCTGAAAATGTAACAACACTATTGCAAACTGGTTGCTTTATTAGTTTTCTGTGTGCCTATTTCTACTTTTCCATCCACATACTGCCCACCACATATACTGTTGTACAATCCAAAATGTATTCCTTCATCACGTTGCACCATGCTTAGTGTTGTCTATTTTCATAAGACTCCAATATCTCATCAGGTGAGATATTGTTGGGTCCAAGGAAACTGCTCTATCCATTTGCATTGATACACGATCTTATCTATATTTGTAAGCATGAATTAAATGAATCTATATTCATCATCTTAGGTGGACTTTTCTGGCATGGTTAGTGAAGAATTTCTTCATAGACTTGGAGTAGAGAAGGGTACAAGGACTGTAGTGAATCATGAAGAAAGGGGTCGAGTTTTACAGGCCATGGATGGCTGCAACTACAAAGCTGCTGCTGGGGGTTCTCTTTCCAACACCTTGGTGGCCTTGGCAAGACTTGGTGGCCAATGCACTGGAGGACCTTCACTGAATGTTGCCATGGCGGGCAGCGTTGGAAGTGATCCATTAGGCGGATTCTATCGGTATGCTTTCATTTCTAGTTTCTGCCTCTTAAACTTTCAACACACTTCTCTGATACTTTTGTAAGTAAACTGTAGAATGATAGATCATTTTATATTATTTTATTTTATTTTATTTGAGCACGGGCTAATCATTCCCAACTGTATCTTGTCTTTAACATGAATCATTTCATTGCTTATAAGTAATTCGACTTTCGCAATATTTCTGAGTTTTTTCATTCTCATGCTTTCTAATGGAGGAAATAAGTCAATCTTTTGCTATCCTACCATATACATTGCCATCTTTAAACATTTAACCACTCATGTATCCTATTAGCCTTTTCAATTATATGAACCATTTATTCAATTAACAGAGGATTATTATTGAGTTTGGCTCACGCATACTTCTCATGTTTTATATTTCTTGCATTAGTTTTAATTGTTCTGATGAATTGATTGTGCTTTCTGGTCTTTTGCACAGGTCAAAACTACATAGAGCTAATGTAAATTTCCTTTCATCACCAGTGAAGGATGGAACAACAGGAACAGTTATTGTCCTAACAACACCTGATGCTCAACGTACAATGCTTGCATACCAGGTCAGTAGTATATTCGCTGTCAAAAGATCTTGGTGATTCTTTTACTGACTAAATGTGTTTTGAGAGTGTGCTTCTGTAGACAAGAATAAACTCTATGGATTATGTGGTAAATTTTCTCAGGATGCTTCTCTATCAGAATTTATTTAAGTTATCAATAAATGTATTTTGTTTTTTAATAATCTTTTTCCATTATACGAATTTATGTACTTCCTCCGTCCACAAAAAATAGAACATTTTGGTCCGGTACGGAGATTAAGAAAAATGAATATTTTATTGAAAAAAGTGATAAAAGTATAAAGTAGTTGGAGGTATTTTTGAAAATTTTGTTATAAATTAGAGAAATGAGAAGAGAGAATGTAATAAAAGTAATGTCAACTATTGAATGGAGGATAATAGTTAAATGTTGATTTGTTGACTGTGTCAAAATTAGTAATTGGGTAAATTCAGCGGACTTACTAAAAATTAGAGTAAATTTGGTAGACGGAGGGAGTATTTCTTTTCTAGCAGGTCTTCAGAAATTATAAGAAAATTTTATAATTATTACTCATAAATAAGTAGGCAAATGGTGTTTGTGAGCCTATCATATGCTTATGTTAAGTTGTTTCAAATAAATTATTTGGGTTGAGATAGTTGAATTCTTGTCATATGTAATTTATTTTTTGTAAAAGACATAAAGATGAAATGAGTTTGACGTCTTTATTTTCCCTGCGTAACTGCAAATGACTCATTTTTATTCAAAATAGAAACAGCTCCATGATTTTTGTGTAAACATAGCATTGTTTGTTTGAGGTCAAAATTCGAATTTGGTGTGGGAAAATTGCACAAGATAGTTGTGGCAGATTATGAAGGGAAGGCGATGCACTGGAGAGTGTTGGATATTAAGTGGGGATGCATACAATAACTTTGGTCATGGTGGAAATAGTAAACATTGGTTGGAGAGGGGTGTAATGGTTATGGGGATGACATGAAAAGTCATTAAGGATCAGAGGATGGGAGCAGAGTGGATAAGATGGTGATACACTTACATAGTGTATGATATATTTTACATTTAAGTGGAAGTGGCATTTTTGTTCAGACAAATTTTTCTCAGAAGTCTCACAACCTCTTGTTGCACCTGCTGCGGTATATTTGTATAATCTATGAGGAAGACTCCATTTATTTGACAGATTTAAATTAGTTAATTGAAATTCTGGATTATCATAATTATTCATATGTATGTAATCATTGCCTAGCATTTGTTTTAATCTCAAATGGAAGAATTTTCAATGCTTCACATAATTAAACACAGGTTCTTTTGAGATAGCATAATAAATTGATTAAAGATTTTCCTTTGATAATACCAGGGAACATCTTCAAGGGTAAATTATGATTCCTGCTTGGCAACTTTGATATCGAGAACAAGCATATTGATTGTTGAAGGATACCTATTTGAATTTCCTGACACAATTAAAACAATTAAACTGGCATGTGAGGAGGCCCATCAGCATGGTGCTCTAGTCGCCATCACAGCTTCAGATGTAACCTGCATTGAGAGACATTATGATGATTTCTGGTAAGTAAATTGCTGAACACTTCTATTTTAGGACTGTGTATTAAATTAAATTACTTCAAAGTGTCTTGGCAACAGAAAATTTTATGGCAGGAGTTAGCATTGGACTCCATAATTCTGTTGGATACATATTTCTTGTTTGTGAACCAAAAATAAAATATTGGTTTTATCATTCACTGGTTGATTCTAGCATGCAAATCAATTTTTCTCTACCCTGGATGGTTGGATTGATATCACCTGTTGTTTCGGTTGGGATTTTGGAATTGCCCTATGCTTAGTTTCTTGGGAAGGTTAAAGAAGCAAATCTTGTAGAAGATATGAATGTCTATTTGCGCTTCATATCCTTTGTTGAAACCGGAGGATGTTTGAGATTATTGACATCACATGATTCCTCCTTTACGTTTTAAGATATTGTAATTTTCAGGGACATCATGGCAAATGAGGCTGACATCATCTTTGCAAACAGTGATGAGGCCAGAACTTTCTGTCATTTTTCCTCACAAGAAAGCCCTGCTTCTGCCACAAGGTACCTGAGCCACTTTGTTCCATTTGTCTCAGTCACAGATGGCCCTAGGGGATCGTATATAGGTGTAAAAGGAGAAGCTATTTATATCCCTCCATGGCCTTGTGTTCCGGTAGACACTTGTGGAGCTGGGGATGCCTATGCGTCTGGCATACTTTATAGTTTGTTACATGGTGTATCTGATTTAAATGGGATGGGTTCAATAGCTTCTAAGGTTGCATCCGTTGTGGTTGGACAACAAGGGACTCGATTGAGGGTGCAGGATGCTGTAAAATTAGCTGATGCGTTTGCATTGCATCATGATATATCCCCTAGATGGGCAGATGTGGGTTCTGATCATATTTCCAGTTAGTAAAGTAATTTGTGTGAGAAAGAGGGTGAGAAATAGAGATCAGTTAACCTACATCTATCTAGTCATGTAGACCCCCTGAATATTCTTTATTAGAATCAAATATACATATATTATTGAATTTGTACATGTTATGTTCTAAGCTACTGAAAAATGGTGATGATAATTTGTTTAGCTTCTATTGAATCAAGAAACAAAATAGGTTTGGTTGGCCTTGTTTTGACATTCTCTAGATAATTCATTTCAAGGCAATTTGATGTCCCAATCAAGCTGATGGGACCGATTAATAGAAAATAATCTACTTTTGTTGTATATTTCACCTATTTATGGAGTTAGGTGCACATTCTAGTGCCTTGGTACTGAAGTACTGAACTGGTGACATTAAGATCCCACGTGAAAGAGTTTTAGTTCTTTTCAAGGTATTACATTAAAGAGAGTTCAACTTGGCTTGGTATTGATTTATCAATTCGACCTCTTGGAATTAGAATAGGCTGAGAGTGGATTTTCTGTCAAATGGATGATTTTGCACGTATTTGAGAGTATAAACTTCAATAAGATTAACATACTAGGGAATCAGCAATCTCTTTTGATGAAATGACCTTGTCTCCGAGCAAATAAGTTGCATTTCATAATTAAATAGGGAAATTCATCTAATGTTTAATGCGATTTTCCATTGACAAGAAATTAGCCATAACGTAACATAATTTTCCAACACATATCTGCATTTTATGTTTGTATACTGTAGATATCTGCATTTTATGTTTGTTCTTCCTTTGAAGCTATATCTTATGAGTTCAACATTGTTAACTAGCATAGACATCTCATATAAGGTATAGAATTCTATGCTAAAATATAGATGTATATAAACTAAAGGAAATCTTTAAGAGAAAAAGGAAAAGGTGAAAAAAAAGACGCACGTTTTATTATCGCACGTCTTGTTGGATAATTTAAATATAATCTAATATATGGGACAATAAATTCTACTGCCAATATCCTGAAGGGAGCGACAGTTCTCTTCTTTGAAGGATTTATCTCTGCACAGTTCACTGCGGAAACCTGCTATTGATCTCATTCAATCAATTATAGTGTCTGATGCAGCAGCATTTAGCTCTATAATCTTGAGAGATCACATGCATCCTGGTGATAAACCAATAAAGCCCATTCATTACCAGGATATAGAAGAGGAAGAGAGAAGAGATTCTGTCTCTTCCATGCCAAAGAAAATAACCTTAATTGTTGGAAGGAGTTCAGTCTGCAGTATAAATATAAAGAGTTCAGTGTGCAGCTATGGTATGGTTGGAGGTGTTGGTCGAAATAGATTCATTGGTTTTTCCACTGTCCTCCAAACATGTTTTTAGGGCAATGTCTCGATTGTCAGTTGATGAGCTGAAAATAGCATGGATATCTCTCTCAGTTAAAAACTGGTTTACAACCCATGCTTCAGAGATGTCACATCTTTTTGGGTGGAAGGTACCTCATGGTGGTTCTGATGATGGTCGGGGTGGAACAGAATTGAGAAACTCTATTCAAGAGGTTAGTTCCTACATTATACTTTTGGCTTCTGCTTTGTTATTAACTACGTCTGATCATAAATTTTCGTTCCATATAATAAATCTTTAAGAGTTGATCCACTGAATGAGTATTGCAGGTCACAGCTGATTGACTTGTTAGAATGGGACAAGGAGAGCTGCTTAGGAAGCAGTGGACCTGGGAGCCAGTAATAAGCAGTCATTTGATTCTCTTGCTTCAGGACCTGAACGCAGTTGTTTGAGGTTTTCATGAATACTATTGTCCATTATATATTTATAGATAGAATCCATTCAAACTTGGCCCCCAAATTTATCTGATGGCTGTAGAGTACATGGTAAGTTGGCAGGCTTATATTAGACCAAGTTTCTAATTTGCATGGTCTTACTGTTGGCCTGCAATTTCTATGCTGCATTCAGTCATCATTGTTGGGCATCCTTTTGGGATTGTGGCGTGCTTTGAAATTGGTAAAAGATTTAGTATTAAAGTGTCCTTTTGTTTGAGTGTAAAAACTCATGCTTCTGGAAAATGATAAAGTCCACACGAATAATGTCTTGTCATCGATCTACGTTACTATCTTTAATTCCTTTTATGTATCTGTTACAGATTCATGGGTTTGTTTTGTGATGATTTTTATTGTTAACAGTCTTGAACTCTTAATAGAATTGAAGCTAATTTTCGTAGATTTGCATAGCTTGTAGTGCATATCTCATGCTAAAGTTTTTGCTTTACTGTTGAAGCCAGTATGGTGTCATTTCTAAAACTGTGCTCGAACTGCTAGTTATTAGATTTGTTCAACTTCATTTCTGGACTCAGTTCTGTTGAGCTTTCCAACTTCACATCATCTCTCTTGCTTTTTTTTTTTTCGTTCTTTCTTTTATTTTTTGATCGGATTGCATCATCTTTTTTTCATCGTTTGCTAAGTGTTCAGAGAAGGAAATTCATCTGCTCTGTCCATATGCCAAAATCAACAAGATGTTTCTAACATTTCATCAATACTTTGCTACCGTGAACTTGGAAGTTGTGGGAGAAGTTTTGCTGCTTGCTGTGCTGTCACAACTATCATCTCAGGTCATTGCAAAGCTTTTTGGTTTTGATATTCAATGTCATTGTGCTCTGTGTTCTTTAGATGCATTCAACAACATTGAACACAGCGTTATTGTCCTTGCAAAATTTTCTGCAACTTTGCCAGCATTTATGTGTTGTGTTGATGAATATAGATTGGAATATTTGATGCTGTTTTTTTTACTTCCATTCAGGTCAAATATGTTACACATTTCTGTGAATTTTTTATGGCGGAGAGTTATTTTTGTGCTAAATTTCGGCTTCACTGTGTAATCAGGATTTAGCTTAGGGAAGCTTCTATGAAGTTTAAGAAAATTTCTATATTTTTTTTAGAGGAAAGATCAAAGGAATAATATAAGATGTTGTAAGAACATAATTTAATTTAATTTACAGAAATTGGACGAAATTGCTACTCTTTGCATCTTATAATGTGTGTAAAATCATTTTTTTAATTATACTCCGTCAGTCCCGTATCTATGTATCCATTTACTTTTTGCACGGAGTTTTAGGTAAATTAGTATTATATTGGAATGTAGTAGAAGTAAAGATAAAAAAGACTAAATTGCCCTTATTAGTATTGTATGATATTTGTGTAATATATTGTAAATTGAAATTATATTTGTAATGTTAGGTAGATAGTACAGTTACTAAAAAAAGAAAAAAAGGAAATGGATACTTTTTTATGGGACGGACGAAAATGGAAAAATGAATAGATTGTTAAGGGATGAAGAATATTTAATTTTCATCATTCACATGCATCTGTGTATTCTTGAAGTCGTCTCCCTGTTGATTTTGAAGAGCTTCCCTAAAATTCTTAGATATTGGTGGAAATATTGAGGGGAGTCGTCACTTGAAGGAAACACTGGTGGGCATATTGAGGGGAATCATCTACTATATAGATGCATACCCGCACCATACATACATTTAGGGCTAGCAAACGAATTAGGTCGATTTCAGGTTGAGATCAATTATAACCGGGTTAGAAAATCTTTGACTTGAACCTGATCTATTTAATTAAACGGGTTGATATTTGCAACCTTAACTTGATCTTTTATTAATCGGGTCAATCTGAATATGAACTGTATAACGTGTTTAAGTCTGAAATTTTTAAATTTTAATTTAAAATTACAATTTCTACTAACAAAATTTTCAAATGCATAATATATATACATATTAAAGTAAAAACTATTTATTCATATGGAATTAAGAAACACTATGTAATAGTATACAACAAAACCATTTGTTTAATCTTAATTTTGTAGAATTTTAGCTTAAGTTTTATTTTATTTTATTTTTAGAGTAAATTGCGTATATCATACCCGTGTTTTAATAAATTTGCAAGAAATCCCCTTTATTGAAAAAATCATATCAAAATCCCCTATATTACAAAGATATTGCAGACGTCTCATAATTACTAACGGTGTTAATTTAGTTGTTGAAGTGACCGTTATGCCCTTTGACTTTAAACTCATTAATATCTCTTTTATGAAAATTCATAAACAATTCTTTTATTAATTAAATGAAATTAACTTTCACTGATTGCCCAGTTTACATCCATTAGCAACAGATTCCATTAACGAGGGTTTTATTCTTCATTCTCTTCTCCCATTGAATGTAGCGAAAGGAGTAGGGCTTTCGTTTTTCTATTCTCTTCTCCCGCTAAATCTTATTTTCGACTATTGTTCCATTAGACTTTGGTGCTCGATCTTAGTTTTTGTTGTCGGCAGAGTTAGGTTTTGAAGGTAAGAAGATGCTTTGGCAAACTTTTATAATTTTGTTGGGTTTTTTCCTGATATTATTGTTCTTATTACTAGTAATTATAAAAAAAACTTTACCTTATGTCATCTTTGGATAAATATTGAAAGTTCTTTTCGGGTTTGAAGATTTTGTATGCGATTTGTTTAATTTTTTTTTGCGACATCCGTTTGGGAGGGGACCGTGTTTTATAATTTTTTTTAATTTTGATAGGGTGTGGTAAATATACTATTTTTTGTTGGCGTATATTATAATTTTGTTGTATCTTGCAGAGACCACAAGGAAGATTCCCTCACTGTGTTCCTATGGGTTGACGGTTACATAATTTGGGACCCATTCACAAAGTACATGGAATGAAGAAAAGTCAAGTTTGAAGGTCTCAATAAGGATAAATTAAATTATTTTACTTTAGTAGATTTATATGTGATGGCCGGTGGGGTGGGGACCAATGTAGAATTTTGTTACGGTTTTTCGGGTAGAAATTTGGTGGGTAAGACAATGTATATCAGGACAAATGCAGATGTTATAAATCTCCTATGCTTGTATAAGAATGAGTCTGTCATTCAAGCATTTGTCACTGAATTGGGGGGCCCTATAAAGAGCTTGGATAATGAAGAGAAAGACTTAGTCGTGCTAGTGAAGTTTTGCATTTATCCTGGAAAGACACAATTGTAAAATGTGAGAGGCGAATAGTAGAACCAATAGATGATGAAGGGCGAAGTGCAGAGTTAGAAGACCTACTTGATTCTAATGCAGGGAGACATGATGATCCTAATCCTGATTTGGTTCGAGATGTTGTATGGGAGAATTGGGATACGATTAGAGATTTTGGAAATTATGGTGATAAAAGTAATGATGCTTCAAGTTTCAAAGCTTCTAATGTGCATTGGGTTGAGTATGGAAATCACAGCACACATGAGACAATATTGATGAAGGGATATCTAAGGGAGATGCAGGGGAGGCTGATGATGCTACAGAATCGGGGGTCAGAAGTTTCGATGAGAAGCTAGGTGGCAGAGGTGGTAGTGATAGGGATGAAAGGTTGGAATTGTGTGGTGATGACGGTGCTGTAGATGGATTTGGAGGATTGACCACAATTAATGAGAGCGATTCCGAGGATCCATCATGGATGTATGGTGATTTTGATGGTCCGTCAGACGATGATATTTTTGTTGAGAAGCCAAAGAATGACCGAGATTGAATGAAGAAATTGTTGAAGAAGTTGAGGGTTTTAAAAAATGAAAGAAAAAAAGAAAAAGAGAAATTTGTTGTCGATGATGCCAGTGTAGGAGAGAAGGTGAGTGGAAAGAAGAGGGAACAATGTTCTATTTGTTATAGCGATGATGCATCAGAAGGAGAGACTGTTTTGAAGACTCCTTTACTATCTGAAGAAGAAGAAATTGGACAAAGATATAAGGAATGTGATGAAAGCCTGAATATGGCTGCCATCAATTTGGAAGTTGGCATGAAATTTTCATCAAGACAAAAATTCAAAGAAGCATTAAAGGATTGGGCAGTTCGCAAAGGTGGGGACTTGAAGTACCCAAAGATGGAAAAACACGTTGTAAGTGCTACTTGCAAAAATGGTTGTGAATGGTATATTCGAGCATCAGCAATCATGAAGGGTGATATATTTCAAATTAAAACACTCAAAAGAGGACACAAATGCGCTCATATGACAACAAATTTACAAGCAGATTTTTGGTATGCATTTTAGTCTTCATAACTTATCCTATATAATTATGTGTTAGTAAATGGTACCATAATGATGTTATGGCTGCTATAATCCTATTTTGTGAGTTATATTATTTCTGTTATTTTTTGTGTTATTAATTCATGAATATATATGTGTGTGCGCTTGGGTGTTCATCAGCTAATAAATAATGCTAGTATACGTTGCAGCCTACAATTAAATTACATGTGGATTAAATTAGCTTAATGTAGTGAAGTTGTAAATTATTGAAGGGGCTTTAGATGGTATTATAATGATTTTATGACTTTTGTATCACTATTCCGTGAGTAATATTATTTATGTACACTTATTTTGTTTATTTAATGGTTTTTGTGTTATTATATAATATTTTTTTTGGAGTACCAGTATTTTTACAATAGGTACTTGGGCAAAAGAATTATGAATTACGTGAAAGACAATCCTTCAGAGTCTCTGGAATCTTCATGGAGGAAGATCCGACGAGATGTTGAAGTGGATGTAAGCATCCATAAAGTTTATTGAGCAAAGCAGCATGCTATAGATCTGTTGAAAAGGGATATTAAAGAGCAGTACAATAGACGATATACAAACACAACCCTGGTAGTTCTTGTGTATTGAAAGTAGATCGAGAGCTAACTTCTCCAGTACTGCAGAGAATGTATGTTTGTTTAAAACCTCTTTCAGATGGTTTTAAAGTGGCGTGTAGGCCAATTATTGGAATAGATGGTTGTTTCTTAAAAGGGTTGTATAAGGGGCAGCTTCTAACTGCAACTGCAATGGACGGGAATAACAATATCTATCCGATAGCAATGGCGTTTGTTGAGGTCGAAAAGTTTGACAGTTGGGATTGGTTCTTGAATTTGTTATTTAGAGACATTGGAGAAGCTCGAGAGCGGTAAATGGTCATTCTTGTCTGACAGACAAAAAGGTCTGATTGAGGCGTTAGGAAAACATGCGTCAGATGTTGAGCATCGTTTTTGTCTACGTCATATGTACAATAACTTCAAGATGAAGTTTAAAGGATTGGAGTTGAAGAGGTTATTTTGGAAGGCAGCCTCAACATACAATATCAAAGAGCACAAGAGAACCATGAAAGAAATATTGAAGTGTAATCCAAAAGTGAATGAGAATAAAAATGCATTTGAGTGGTTGTCCGACATTCCGGAACATCAATGGGCAAGGTCTTATTTCCCGACGAGAACTAAGTGTGATGTTTTGGTATACAACATTAGTGAGTCCTTTAATCACTGTATCATGGCTGCCCGCGATCTCCCAATCATTGAAATGTTTGAATGGATTAGAAGCAAGAGCATGACCCGCATCCAAATTAAGAGAGAAGGAATGGAGAAATATGATGGCTCAATCTGTCCAAACATTGTGAAGAAGATTGAGGTGCAAAGAAAGGAAAGTAGGAACTGTTTCCCGAGTTGGGTAGGTGAGGACAAGTTCGAGATCAAACATTGGCAATCAAATCATGTTGTTCATCTTAAGTCGAAGAGTTGCACTTGTGGTATGTTTCAGTTAGTGGGATACCTTTGTTGTCATGCCATTGCTGCCCTGGACATGCATAGACAGGATCTATTGGAGTTTGTGGATGTCTACTTCAGCAAACAGATGTACCTATACTTGTACAACCACATAATCAGTCCAGTACCTGGAATGCATGACTTTGAGAAGGCCTCTCTTGGAATTGCTTATCCTCCAATTATAAAAAAGCGAATTGGCAGCCCAAAAAAAGCGCAACGGCCTGATGCAAATGATATCAAAGATTCATCGAAGGCAACAAGAAAAGGGTTAACTCGTACTTGTGCTATATGCCATGAACAAGGCCATAACAAAATAAGCTGCAAAAAAACTCCACACCCGAATTCCAGATTTGCAAAGGTAATATTTTAATTTACTGCTTGAATTATTAAGTGATGCATGCATGATGAATTATTAAGTGATGCATGCATGAGAAAACACTAATATGTATTCTATAGGGACAAGGTGAATTATCTGTTGATGTTGATGGTCCAGCTCGGCCCGAACAGACCACGACCTGTGATGGACATGCCCGACGAGCTAGTATACTTTCAACTAAAATAATATATTGCTACAAATGATAGTTAGATATTAGTCTTGTAATTTTTCATGAAGTTTCCATACCTACTAATCCAATGTGAAAAAACAATTAGTTTTGTAAAAGAAAGATGACTCACAGTAGCGCACAAGATACAAGAATATTTCACCAATGCATGCTCAGGTTATTGATTTACTACCTTATGAAACTATCTACGTTGGAGAAATACAATATATTGAAAATTTAATATCGTACATTTTTTTTTAACCGATAGAGGAGGATTCTCAAACAGCTATTCCTGGAAAATTTGGGACAGATGTTCAAGCCACAATTTCTACGCAATCAACCGGCCAAGTTAGGACAGAAGCTACCGATTTCGATCAAAGTCAAACAAAAGTAAATATAATTTCCGAACTTTGTAGTTACCTGCCCAAGTAATAGCTCTATATTCTCTGCATGTTAATTATATTTTTGTATTTTATAGGAGCAGCCCTCAAAAGTTCCTCGAAAAAAAAAAAATCCATATCGACGTTCCGAAGCCAAGGAAATGTGATTACCACATTCAGCTCTCAGTCTTTTAACGGTTTTGCCACGTCTAAATGTTAGAACTCAACTAGTTGGATCATCACTTGCATCCAGGTTACGTGCATTAAGGTTCTCTAACAAGCCAAGACAACCTAATACCTCGTATTAAGGAAGTAATGGTCCAAGGCGTGCTACTGGTTCTGAATTGGAGTCGTGATTGTATTAAATAGTGTTAAATGTTTGTTGTTAGTTAGACAATGGCATAGTCTTCTCGTATATGGTTTTTTTTTTGGGTGATTTGGTTGCAAATTGGCACGTAGTTTGTGTCAATTTGAAGTATGTTTTTTGTATTACCTGCCAGGTTATTAGACCCTCAAACATGTGGCATCATGTGCTGTGATTTTGAACATATATTATTAGTTTCGTTTTGAACTCCTTTGCATAAGGACATGACAAAAGATTGTTGTTTTCATTCATTTGCCATAGTTTAAGGTCATGTCTGGGATTGAATGAATGAAATGTTTAGAAAAAAATAGGAATAATCAAAATATTAGTAGAAGTAACAATTTCTTTGACATAAAATATTCATTCGTTCATTATTATTTTCTACGATCAAATATAATAATATCAAACACCAAATAACAACACAATAATTTCAAGCACTAAATACAAGCAATACAATACTATACAATATTGTTAGATTCAAAACATAAAGTTCATAACAACACAATGATATCAAACACCAAACACAAATCATAACAACAATTCAAACACATAGTTCAAACACCGAATACAAGAGATATTTCTAAATACAACACCGAAAAACATAGACACCTACTTACATATTACCATAAATGCAAGAACAACAATAACAAAAACATAAAGATATGTAACCCTATTCGTATTTTTTTCCAAACGCTTCATGTTCAACTCTATCACTCTAGCAATGTTGTCCATTTCAGCCCTCCCTATGGCACCATGACCTGAATTCATACTTGCTTTGGGTTTTGAAATTACTTTATCTTCTTCGTCGGAGTTAACGACTCCCAACTTTGATCTTTCCTTCTCTTGTGCATTCAAGGGTTCAAGCCAACAAAAAAATCACATTTTCTGATTTTTCAATTGTAAAACAACTTACCTTCGGTATTTTTGGTAGGCTCAACGACCCTAATAGCAGCATATATTCCGTATTTACATACTGGATTCTTGTATCTTAAATCCAGTACTTCCGCTCTTAAGCCTCTTTTGCTATTCGAGGATGTCGTAGACATTAACGCCACCTATTCAGCAACAGCAAAATCGACTATACAATTCAATCCGAATATTTATAAGAAAAACAAATAAAACAGCCCATTCAATGAAAATTGTTCTAAATTAGCAACAAACTCGATCAACAAGTCTTCATCGAAAACTGGCTCGAACATAAAATATCTATCCCTAATTTCTACTATCGCTAAAATAACATCACTACTGCCCGAGCAACTGAATTAATTCCACAAAAATAATACAAAAGGTTAAGATTTTCTACAAAAATTGAATAAAATTATGAGGAAGAGAGCGACGCCAACGCATCAAAGTTTAACACTTATACTATCGTCAAAACAAAACAATCTTCTTTCTTAACCCAACGCAAATTCTTACGTGAAATCAAATTACTCAGAAACAATAACACTAATTTAAGAAACTATAAATTCTTACCTGCACGACGAATTTGTTAATGTTATTTTTGAATCCCTCCCTTGCGAATATCAACCGCGTTCGGTGAAGAGGGCTTCGACGGTAAAGGAAGAATGCTTGAGTTAGGGCATATGATCGACAATAAAAAATTATATTTATTGGAAAAATATTCAGATACAATGAAGGGCATTTACGTCATTTCATAAGACCTTTGAGAGCTTGTTTCTATAATACACGCATAAATAGCGCATGTATTTTACTCTCAGTGTGGATTGGGGATTTACTGCAGAATTTGTTATATCATAAATGTAAATTATACAATAAAATAAACATAAGGTGTATTACACAAATTTCAAATAACACAAGTACCAAGAGTGAAATATACCCTTATTTTTATAAAATCGGCCATGAATATTTGAATTGAATTGGTAAAATTTTAAAAATATATTTAAATTTAAAATAATATTAATTAAACTGGTTATTAAATATGTTAAACGGATTTGACCCAATTATTAATTGGGTCAAAAATCTCAACCTAAACTCAATTATTTCAAGTCAGGTTTAGGTCGGATTATGGGTCAATTTTTGCCAGCCCTACATACATTATATATAGTCGGCATTAAATAATAAATGGCTAGTTTAATTAAATATTATATGTTTTATAAGAAATAAATTTCAATAATATAAATACCCCACCGTCCAAAAACAAAGTATCATTGATTTTTTGTGTGTAAATATTTGAATATTAATAATTATAAATAAAAAGAAAAAGTTAAAAATACTTCTATTAGACTTTTATACTGCAAATATAATGATAATATGAATATTTTTAATGTTAAGTACAACAACATAAATAAAAGGTAGTATATTAATTTAATTATGCACATATATTAATTTTTGTATAAAAATATCAATAATTAATGAAAAATTATTTAAAATGAAAGATATCGTATAAATGTTATAAAGAGAGATTGGATGTTATAATATCATTTAAACTATAGCACCCAATCTATCCCAAATATAATATTATGTGTATATATATAAAGTTATAATAAATTTGATAACAACATAAAGTAATCTTATTAATAAAAAAGTATTATAATTAATATTTTCTTAAAAAGAAGAAAATAAATTTTTAGCAGAAATGGAAAACATCCTATAAAAAATAGAAGTATTAAAAATTCTCGTATCGCTCAATTGGAATGCGTTACGTGGCATAATCCGAAAAGTAAATTGAAATTATTCATTTTCTATAAATAGAGGTCATTGCCAAATCATTCAAAACAAGCGTTCTTTGTCGAAAATTCACTAATTTAGACAAATGACTCAATATTAGTTGACAAATCAATAAAGTTAATATTCTTCTTCGTATGTCTAAATCGGAAAAAAGATCACAATTCCTAAATCCATTGAAAAATCTGTCAAAGGCAAAGAAAAGTCATCCAAATTTATGACAAAGTTTGAAGACATTTTTCACGTTTTTCACCGAATCATCAAATCGGCCCTCTTTAATCTAAAAATCTATGGAATATAACGCCAAAAATATTATAAAGCACCAAATCCACCACCACAATGACCAAATCATCATAAGTCTTCAAAGAACAATCAAAGTCAAGTCGAAAAGTAAATTTACCTTCATGGAGATCAAATCCTCCAAAAGCCAACAAGTCAAACCAAAGACTAAATAACTCCAAATCCGTCAAAGAAGCCAGATTGAAGATAAAATACTATTTCCGTCCACCGTCAATCTATCAATTTGCATTTGGCATAATTGTTTTTAACATTAAAAATATCCTTATATTTGTATAATTTTTTGTACAAATGTCGTTACATTAGTATTATAAGACACCAATATAAATATTTTTGTCGTTTTTTTTTTAATTTGTACTACGTTTTGATATAATTATTAATATTAAAAAATTAACATGCAAAAAGTAAACGGATAGATTTACTGTGGACGGAGATAGTACTATTATTTTTTAAATCTACTGGGTCCGTTTACTTGTAAGATTTTAGGCCTGATTTTACTATTTCAACTTTCTTTTCCTCCGAAGACATCAAATCAAACACTCAATTCTTATTTATTTTATTACACTAAAATCTAATTTTACATTCAAAACATCACATTAACACATATTTATATCACATCAAACAACTATTTCAATTCAAAATTTTATTATTCAAAATCAAAACCCAATAATATTAATATTACAAATATTTTATTAATCTACATTATAAATATTTTATTGATATATAATTTTTAAAATATTTAAATATATATTCTAAATTTATTATAATTATATAATAATTATTATTTTCAAACTATCAATAATATTGCTCACATAAAAAGAGCATAATAAAATTATATTACAATTTATTATTATAAACTAATTAAATTTCATTAAGACAAATATAATATTATTTAAAGGTAAAATATTACTTATTTTCTTATTCAATTATATGTTCATTTACATTCATATATATATTTATAATATCATTAGTAACGAAAAAATAAAATTTAAAATAATATTTTTTTTAAAAAAATAAGAATTTAATAAAAATAATAATTAATTATTAATTTTTTCATAAAAAAAAATCTAAAAATAAATTGATTTAAATTGATTTTTTAAAAAGAGTAACGTTTTTATTATTAATTTTTTTTAATGACTCAAAAAAGTGAACGAACATCACATATGAACATTTAAATTAAATTTTAAGTAAAAATCTCAACATTTGTCTTTGACGGCGTGTTGCCGCGCTGCTATGCGAATCGAGCATATTTAAGGGTGTGTTTGCTTGGAGGATTGGATTTAAATTTAATTATTCATTTTATTTTTTTTATAAAAATATCAAATTAAGCATCTATTTTTTATTTTTTTACATTCAAAACATCACATTCAATATTTATATCACATTATTCAATTATTCAAATTCAAAATTTTTTATATTCAAATCTCAATCCAAAATTCAAATCCCCAACCAAACACACTATTCGATGATTTAGCTAATCCATACGCTCCTCTATTTCCTTTTTTGATGATTTTGACTAGGAAACTAGCGGAGAAGTCTTCCGAAGGAGGTAAGATTTTGAGGGAAGTAAAGTAATTTACTGGAATGGTTTGCAAGTGGGTTCTGCCCCGCTTCTTTCTGTGCAAATTTCGTATTTTATTCAATTACTGTACTCACAACACATCTTATTCTGGTTTTGTCCTGCTGTGACTCCTAATATCCAGCCGATTCATATTTAGTGCTGCTGTTGATGTTAATTTTTAAAGATAACTATAAACGCGGTGCCCAGTATTTTTTAGGGTTATACTGTTCAAACAATTTAATGCCTGACACCAACACTATTTGTAGCCCCTTATTATTAAAATGAAAATGAACTCGGATCATGTGATTATGTTGACTTATTGTATTAGATTATATGAGTTCTGCTACCGCTTATTAAATCTGTATTGCCTACTTGTTGTTAAGAACGTGTCTGTGTGAATAAGTGGCATTTAGTAGTGATCTTTGTTTAAACTGTGATGCCTGTACTCAATTTGAAAACGGGTTGCTATGATTAAGCTGTAAGATTCAATGAAACGTTGTTGTCAAAATGAAAATTTGAAATAATGTCAGGGATTGAAATAACATAAGGGTGCATTTCATATTGTAAAACTGTATGAAAAAATGACTTGTATTTTGAATTTTGAGCTTGGACCTCTTTTTCTGAGGCAAGAATCATACTACTAGACCGAATGTTTGGATGTCTGTGCCTAATTTGTATTGCATTTCAATTTTTTTTTTTTGTAATTGTTTTATTTCATGTTCTCTATCTATAGATTTAGCAATATAGACCCATCAACTACTTGTGAAATTTAGTTCGTTGACAGAGTGATCTGTTTAATCCTTTGAAAAGTTCATTACAAGCTTATTTAACAACATTTTCGCTGCCTTTATTATTTGCCAGTGTTGTTAGCAGAGCACTAGTGATAGTTTCGGCAAAGTGCAATGTTAATTTCAGTTTGTGGACTGATTATACCACGCCTTTGTTGAGTAGTTTTGGAAAAGCCCATGCCTATCAATTTCTTCCATCTCTTTTGGTTTTGGTCCAATTTTTAAATGTGTATTTCTTTCCCATTTTGTTTGCTATCTACATCTGGATTCAAATATAGTTATCCACCCCCAGCTCTTTACTAAAGGACACAGTCTGATTCCTTTTAACAGATTTCAAACTATTTCCTGTTATTCATATTAGCCTGTGTTAGTTATTATATTTATGAAATAGGCTGATGTTATATGATACATCTTGATTAAAAAACTGTTTATATGAAATAAAGGTTAATGGTGATTTGTTTGGTTTTACAGTTGACTTTAGTAAAAAAAATCATTAACTTGTTTATATGGGGCATTCCGAGAATCGAACTCGGGACCTCTCGCACCCAAAGCGAGAATCATACCACTAGACCAAATGCCCAACCATGTATGCTGATTATGCTTGTTGCATGATTAATTGTGGCCATGCATGCCTAATAATTGTTTATGCCATTCAATTTGTGTATTTGTTCATTTGAATCAATGGTCAAAATTAGATAACATTCATCAATTATATAGTTCTGAGCAGTTCTATTATTGCATTCCCCAATGAAAGGAATGTCCTAGAGTTTAGTTTGGTTGCATCTCTTTTTAAATTTCTAAACATAGTCTTTTTTCTATATAATTTACTTATGATAATTCTTTCTTTCTCTAGATGAACAGGAGGATCCCATAATCTTAGACTACTTTACCTAGCCAAGCCGACACACTAGCTAACAGAGATGACTTTCTGCTTCAGCATTTTGCATAGTGGCTCTTTCATTGCTGATTGGATTATACTATTGTTTGAAGGTTCAACTGGTTTCAATTTCAAAATTGAAAGGTATCTCAAAGACCCAAACTTATAGATGGCATGCCATTTTACTTGGCTACTTTAAAACAAACTGCTTTCTTTGGTTGTGCAACTTATTTGATCTATAAAGGTTTAAAACATCGATGATTCACAACGAAGTAATGCATTTTCTTAGTTACAACGATGTGAAGAATTATATGGTGGGGTAGATAGGGTCATTTCAAAAAGTTTATTACTGGTCAGCAATATCACTGTTGCTGTTGTTTACTGTTTTTTAATATATTTATTTGCCATGCATGATTAGATCCACTCGAGTAAACCATAGCCTAATCTAACATGATGCTTATCTGGTCTCAGCACCCAAAGAAAGATAGGATATGTAGAAGTCAGAAATTACTTCCAAATGATAATGGCTTATCTGAATAAGCATACTTTATAGAGATACCAAATTAATTTGTTAACATGTGTTCATTGGTTAACCTTTGTTTAGGTTTTTCCTCAGACTTGTAGGATAAATATTTTATTTGATAGGTTGTTAAGTTTTTATTTTAGTTGCTACAAATACCTTTGTTTGTGGCACATCGTACAATTGAAACCTCTAGATTGACTTCTCCACAATGCATGGAAGTATATTTCAGAAGATCCCTCTATGACTAATTTAATAATCATTTATTTACCTCTATGTTAATGATGTCCCTCTAATATGCTGAATATCTGACACGAATCAAAGTATTGTTGGATCAACTTCTGAAAAATTTTCAGATAATATGTATGACCTCTTCTATCGATACCATTACCAGTGTGACGGTATCCTTAATTTGTGTGGGTCTGTAAGGTTAAGCAATAATATTTAATGTCATATTGATTGTTTGTATCTGACTGCTAGAAATGTATTAAAATGTTTGGAATCAGTCTGCTTATGTGTTCTTGACTTTTACAGAACATGATGTTTCGAAGTAAATCTGGGAGTCTCCACTCACTAATTTAATATTTATTCAATCACCTCTGTTTTCATAATGTTCACATGGCCCAAAAAACTCAATCAAAAGATAATAGGTTTAATGCGACATTCCAAGAGAAACTGTGGCATCCTAACCACGGATCACAACTTGACCAAATGCCCAATTGATTATTCAGGTTAAGCTTCATACAGCATAACTTTTATAATACTTTCTGTTTCTAGGAAGGAGTTACTTTCCTCAGGCTATGGCAAGTATCCTTATATGATCATGAAGATTAATTAGTTCATCATTGTATTTCTCTGATGCCTGGGAAACATGCACCAAGGAACTCCTCATGGTGGAATGTCCTGTCCCCTTGTTTTTCATTTTTTTTTTTTTTTTTTTTCTATGATCGTTATTGTTGAAAAGATATTTGATCTTATAAATAGTAATGGAGGCATTAACACCAAGAATTAAACATAAGAACAAGATAAAGCTGTAATTTTCAAGGATGTATATGTCGTTCTTGCACGGTATGCCTTAGCAAAGCTGAATTTTCAAATTCTGTTTCTGTTCTTTTTATTCATGATCTTTTGGAGTTGTATGATCTTCTGCTTAAGTGCATTGAACAAAGATATTGTGTAACCCTTTGGAAGTCCAATAATTGCCTACCTCTTGTCTTTGCCAAAATTTTCATTTAATTTCACACTTGCAATAGTTTAGCTGCCTAACCCAAAGCACCCTAACACTTTCAGTTAAATGATTCTACAATATACGATATATGTGATTGTTGACTAACTTATGGATCATGATGCATCATTTGTTTTCTGCATTGCTTTGGCTTTTCTGATGACAGTCTAAGTTGAACAATTTGTTTTGATAGATCTTTTTTACAGGGCCCTAATACTGCTATCAATTCCCTAAATTTATTGCCATTACTAGGTCTGGTTTCTTTAACAAACTTTGAGCTATTTTCTACTACTATTCATATAGACTGTGCTTATTCACTAGATCCATATATGTTTTACCTAAAATATGTTAAAAGTCTTAAATATGAGTTGCCTAAATGGATTCAAAGTTCTAAAAGATGTCAGCAAAATAAATACTACACCTGTTAAAAATGGGGCATTCCGAGAATCGAACTCGGGACCTCTCGCACCCGAAGCGAGAATCATACCACTAGACCAAATGCCCAATCATGCATATTTCTTCTAATTATGCTTATTGTCTGGTAAGCTTGTTGGCTTGCCTCCCTCCCATGTCCACTAGCGCTTGTGTCTGGATCAGGGAAAAGGTGAATAAGCACCACCACAGCAGCATAAGCAAGCTTCTATTTCTATGCCACAATAAAGTAGGGTAGAGCTTTGCACCCCATTGGTTGGTTATATTGTTTATGGTTACAGTGTATTAGTCCCTTGACCCTTTCCTTATAACACTATGAATAGACTTTGTATGATTAATGGGTTACATTGTCCTAAACAGATTTGCACTTCACTATTCAAATGAATGGTTAGGTCAATGTGTGGTTTTAGGTTTCATTGTTTCAGTGTCGAGCTAGTCCTTTGGTTTTTCCAATGTAGTTTTCATTTGAGTTTTAATATTTTTATTCTGTAAGGTTTTCTTTATATATGGGTAGACCCTGACATGCACAAAGAACTTTATCTAGCCTACTTCGTGATTTGAAAATATTGCTTCGGAAGTTCAATATTTTCTTACGATATATTTGTAATTTTATCTGAATTTAATAGCTATGCTGCTATCAAATATCTAAAGTATCCCAAGGTGTCTTGAAAACTTGAAAGAATGTATGCGTGTTTGTTTTGTGAAATAGTTTGAAGGGACTTTTTTTTTTTTTTTTTTTTTAATAAGGTATAAGGAATCATGTAGGTATATAAAAATAATGAATGTGTGTAATGTGTTCTTTTTTGGAAAAATGTGAAAAAAAACAAAAACACAAAAAGAACACACCCTGAGTTTCTTTGCTTGGTTGCACAACATTTGATACATGAGGATTTATACCATTGATGACTACCAGTGAATAATGCCTTTATTATGCTTAGATGTTGAAAATTGATATCATCAACAATACTCGCAACATTGCTAACAGGGCCTCATCCTGTGCTTAGAACCACATGAATTAAAGAGTCTAGGCTTCAGTAATTTGATGTTGATTTGATCTCTCAGAGGAACTAAGACAGCTCTAGTTTTACTTTAAATCATCTGCCAAAGTCTGGAATTAATTTCAGAAAAGAATTACCTTCCAAGGAATGATATAGAAATCCATTGAATATATTCTCAGGATAGACACTCAGTAATAGGTAAATATGCAATATGTGTACGCTTTACTGGAGCAATGGTAGATTAGTACTGACTAATGAGGGTGTATTCATTTGAGATTTTATTAATTTTAGAAAGTTTATCAATTTTTATGGATTTAAAAAATCCACAGAGAGTCTAGGTAGAGTTTAATAGATTTTATGTATTGATTTAAACGAATTTTTATAAATTTAAATAGATTGTTTATGAATTTATATAGATTTCATAGGATTGTAAAATAATTTTTTATTGATTTATATAATTTGTATAAATTTATATGAAACCTATTTGTAGATAAAAAAATATTCAAATAAGTAAATAAAAGTAAAAAATGTAAATATATATATATATATATATACAGAGAGAGTATTACTAGTGTGTTCTTTCAACAAAAGATGCACATATTTTCCAGAAAATATTAATATATCACACATTCATTATTTTTGTACTCCCTAAGCAATTCTCTATACCTCACATAAAAAAAAATCCCTTTAAATTATCTCACAAAACAAATATACCCACATTTTTATAAAATAAAGTATATTATTTATTGTCATTTTTATATATGAATATATATTATGTAGTATATTATTAATGATGTATAATAATTATAGCATAATACTATTTTTATATATATTTTTTATTATATTATTATTCAATATATTAATTTGTTTTAGTTGGTTAGAATTTTAGCATATATTTAATTTAACAAATTTAATGTGAAATGACAATGAGATAAAATGGACATAGAGAATAATGTCCCATTGCCAAGTGATAATAATGATAATATATTTTTAAGAATCTATCAAAATCTTTGCTAGAGAGATTTTATACTGTACAAATTTTTTATTTATAATTTTCCATTAAAATTCAATAAAATCTACGGATTTTTAAAGTCTATGGATTGTTGAATACCTTGTATTAAAAGACTTTTAAAAGTCTGGATTGAATACTTTAAGATTTTAAAATACTTTTAAAAGTCTGAATTGAATACTTCTAGATTTTAAAAGACTTTTAAAAGTCTGAATTAAATACACCCGATTTTAAAAATCCAACATAACTCATAGATTCTCAGTAAGTTACTCCCATACCTTTCCAAAATAAAAGTCATTTTAGAAGTTTATTTTTATTCCTAATTATGTTTTATATGCTTCTCATTGCAGATATCTCTTCTATTCCAATTTTTAACCTTATTCAAATTCAAACTACAAAAAAGTACAACTACAAGTTTATTTATGATTTTGTTACTTTACAATATTTCTTATTAAGGGTAATATCTTATAGAAGGATTTGTATATTGGGGTGGAGGGAGTACCACTCCCATCTAATAGTTGACTTTGACTGCATTATATTTGACTTTTTCAAAAGCAAGAATATTCCACTTTCACTAATTTAATAATGTTCATTATCTTATTACTGTCCCACAATATGCTGCAATTTTTATTATTCAAAGGATAGACTCATAGACATATATGCAATATGTAGTTAGTAGGTATGACCTCTATCTGTCTCTTGATTGCTTTGTATTAATTTGCTGTCTCTGAGCTTTTGCAATGATAGAAGTATTTTATATATGAATTCTCCAGCTTTGTTTTAATTTTGAGGAACATTTTGTTTGGAAAAATGCTTACAGATACTAATGATTTGAGTTACCTCTGATTCTTCTGATGTTTTATTGGGGGAGGTTGGAAAACTAAAATTGTAAGATTATATCAATGGCCTATGCCCAAATTGAGAATCATATAACTAGTCCAAATGTCCAATTTGCTTCATATGATCAGTGGCCACAAATGATTACTTCGTTAAAGCTCAGGAAACAAGAAACAAAGGATTGCTTATCATGGAGTTTCCCACCCCTGTATTATTTAAAGTTATCGGCAATCAATTAGACGTCTATTATAATTTTTAGCTCATCAGTTGCTAAACTTAGTCCCCTAGGTGAACAACTATTTAAAGACTAAGAAATTATCAGTTAATCTTATTTACAGTTTGGAGTTATTATTTAAACATATACTAGATTAAGTTATCTGTTATCACTTGCCTTTATCCTTTCCGTACCACACCTAAAAATTTGGTGATTATTGTTTATTATTTGCTTTCATCCCTTTTGTACTATGCCTATAAATAGACTATGAGTTCCTTATTAATAAATAACTTCAGTTTCTTCCAAAATGCAACATGTTGACTTTTAAATAAGGTATTGTAGCATATAAGAGATTATTATGTGTTAAGCAAGCTGCAAGCATAGAAAAATTATATTAAAAGCTGTGGTAGTAATAATCTGGGGCATTCCGAGAATCGAACTCGGGACCTCTCGCACCCAAAGCGAGAATCATACCACTAGACCAAATGCCCAATTATGTGTGTGAATTATATTGGTGTTTGGTAAGCATGTAGTCTTTCCTATTAATTCTACTGTTTGTGGTTTCAGGGTACCAGTCCTTTCACCCTTTTCAGTAATAACACAAATTCCATGGTTGGAAATTCCTGTTTTATGTTCCTCAGAAGATGTAATATTTTCATTTCCTTCTAGAAATGAATGGTCAGACAAAAGTGTTGTGGGTTTGGTTGCATTGGTTTGGCATTTCTGATAGTTCATTGATCACCAAATGTAGTCATTTATTTTGAATTTTGATTTGTGAGCTTTATTAGAAACCTTCAGCTGGCTTATATAGCTGCATTATTGTCAAAAAGTCTTTACCTTGTAGCATTATGACAATTGGTGCTGTTTTTCCTATTGGAGGGTATCATTTTCTTGAAAATTCAATTGCATTACTATTTTATATCTGAATCATATCCCCTTTGATGTTATTCAATTTTAGTTTCCCAAGCTGTGAGAACTTGGGATATGGCATTCTGAGTAATGGGACATTCCAAGCAAAACATTGGAATTCGCCACTAGGGAAATATTAAAATTGAACGCAGGACATCTCTCACCCTAAACAAGAATTGTACCACTACACACCTGCCCTCTTTGTTGATCACTTGCTTGGAAATTATAACGTTGATCATTCTGCGAACTTTAGTTTTAATTTCTCTGTTCACAATTATTATCTGAATGGTATTATTGCATCGTCGTTCATGTAGGAGATGAATACATGATGCTTATATATCTGTCCAAGCTACAAGTTATAGAGGATGCTTCAATTTTATATTCTCACTGTAAGTTTGATCAAAAGTTGATTCATTCTTTAAAGGAATCTTTTTTAAACAGAATATGCATGGCCATTTTTGTGGAACTGATTGTACTATTGCAACTAGATGTGTAAAAAAGTAAATATAATCTTTTTCATAATCAGATGCAGTATAGGTTTTTTAATTCATTTGTTGTTTTATATCTCCCAGGAATGCTTTCGGCATGCATGGGAGGAGAAATTATACCCCTTTAGATTTTTAAGGGGCTGAAGGTGAGCAAGCCATCATTTTGGACCACCATTTAGTCCTTGTTGGGAGACAGGTTCAATCTTTGATGGTAAGATGGAATACATTCTGGAGTTTGAAGAAGTTAAGTATGGTGAACCTCAAAAACCTAAACTAACAAGCCTAGTGCCAATAGCATAGCCAAAGCATGTGCCTTGGATGCCAAGAGCTAGCACCTGTTGGGAAGAGTTACTTTTGTGAATTTGTCATTGGATACGGTGGAATAGTTTTCTTTCTCAAAGTTTAGCCAAAAATATTCCCTATAACAGCTTCAAGTTTTTTTTTTTCACCGACTCTCTCATAACTCTAGTCATTCTTCATCACCACCTTGTTATAGCATCCACTACATTGTGAATGTGCAAACTTGGCACCATATCTGTGAATTCACATATTTGGGATCCAGTTTTGAAAAATAAGATGATGTGCTGTTAACTGATCTCGTTTCCCATCTGGATTAGAATCAAAGTTTTCCATCTAATTTGCCATTTACCATGGTTATATTGCTAAGCGAACTATTAGACATGTCACATGTAGGTCATTTTGGGGCGCCATTCTGTTAGAAATATTGTATAGAGGCTCATTTTGTATTTAAAGTGTAGTGTAGGGACATTTTAGGTATTTATTGTATATTATGTAGAGTTTTGTGCAATAAAAACTTTCATTGAGTGAAGAACGTTTCCATCGAGTGTAACCAACTATAGCCAGCATTTTCAAACTAAAGATATGAGACCATTGAAGTATTTGTTTGGTATTAAAATTGCTAAATCACGTGATGTATAGTTCTTTAACAAAGAAAGTATGAATTGTATATTCTTGAAGAAATTGGTTTATCTTACTGATAGACTCTCATATGGATTCAAATGTGAGTATTGTGAGCCGATTTCTTTAGTCTCCATGCAATGCTCATTGGGATGCTACGATTTGAATTTTGAAGTATGTCAAAGGATCTCCGGGTAGAGAATTATTGTATACCAATCAAGATTACAGTGAAGTGATTGACTACTCGGATGCTAATTAGGGAGGATTCTCAGTTAACAGAGGCTCTACTTCAGGGTAATATTATCTCATGGAAGAGTAAGAAGAAGAATGTTGTTGCTAGATCAAGTGCAGAGACAAAATATCGAGCTATGACATTAGTGATTTGTGAACTTATTTGGATAAAACTGCTTCTTCATGAATTGAAGATAGTGGAGGTTTCAGAGAGAATAATTTTGTGACAATCAGGCTGCTTTGCATATTGTATTGAATCCAGTATTTTACGAGAGGACTAAACATATTGAGATTGAGTATCATTTTATTTGTGAGAATGTATTATTTAGATGTATTGCTGCCTATTATGCTACTTGGAATGGCCAACTTCTAGATATTCTCAATAAATCTCTTAGAGGTCTTCAAATTAAATTTTTATGTGACAAACTTGGATTATATGATTTTTATTCTTCAATTTGAGGGAGAGTGTTATAAATATTGTTAAGAAGTTCATTTTGCATTTAAAGTATAATGTAGGGGCATTTTAGGTATTTTTGGTATTTATTGTATATTATGTATAATTTTGTGTAACCAAAAATTTCATTAAGTGAATGGAACGTTTTCACATTCCTTCGGAGAGTTGCATGGAAATAAGCATGTTGGCATTTGGAAAATCAATACAAACTGTTGTTGTAAAAATTCACCTCCAGCAGCTTAATTGAAAAAGTCTGCCAGAATCGAGTTGTTCGAAGGGTTCCTCGCCTTCTTCAAGAAAGGATTCGGACTATCTCGCAATTAACAAATAATTAACCTAAAAAAAATACAAAAGTGGAGATAAAAAATTATGAAAATACAAGAAGATGGAGATGAATGGCATCTGTCTTTGATATGATCTTGCTTCTTAATCTTATTATTTTTTGAATTTTGTTTGGATAAACTATTATCCTACTTTTTTCTTCAACCACGTCAACCTCATTTTCCAACATCTTTCCTCCCTTGATTACTGCAAATGCACCAAGCCGACTGAGTCATTGGGTTCAGTAACGAAACTAGCATTTAAATTCGGGGGGGGGAGCAAAATGTTATATTTATTTAATATTTAACTAATAGTTTAAATAAAAAATAATGACATAATTATATATAAATTTAGATAGTTTTTGGGTGCAAATTGTGTATAAATATATAAAAATTAATATTTTTAACACTAAAAAAATCGTAAAAAATTGAGCTTGGAGAGTCAATTGCCCCGAACCCTAGTGTAGCTCCATCCCTTTCATTAATCTGGACTTTCTGCTGAACTGCAAATATCCCAGGGTTTGGGCTGTACTTGTACTGGGCAAGCTCAATTAATTTTGAGTGTGTACACGGACATATTAGCTCTCGTGAACTAGGTTTGGCTGGTATTGGTGGTGTGGCAAGGGACTAAAGGTAAGTGTATTTATCCTTTCAAGATGAATTGGCCATATGTTATATCAAAATCATACTATTTTATACACATTGTCGGTGTTGGTTGAAAGCTAGAGCCAGCCCTTCACTTATGGTATCGAATGAATGTGATCTCAAAATTGATTTGTGGATGACAGCTTAAATTTTAGTTGTAACAGCCATTAAAAGTGCCTTATCTCTTGGCTGCTCCTTTACTTTGATAAGCATATTCGATTTCGTATTTCCTTGCAAAACGAGTGGTAATCAATTGCATATTTGATTGTAGTTTTTCCGGCTGTATTAATTTTTTGGGTAACTTTTGTAATGGAATGAGCCATAGTCAACTAGAGGCTAAGGTCATGTCCAAGACATTGAAACATTTGCATGTGAATGTGGTTTATCTTATATGTGTTTTGCACCTTCTTGCCTTGTTCTTTCAATTTCGTTGTAAATAAAATTATATGTGCATCTTGTACCAACACCACGACAAGTGTAATCATTTCAAACAATTTGACCAATTAAAATGAAGAATTAATTTCAAATTCTAGTACTAAAATTAATTCTAATTATCGTTTTTGAACCTCACCGTTGCAGCATACTAAAGTGCAGTATAAAAGAGTACATATCATGAATGAACTTAATATTATGAATGTATATAAAAATTATCCAAAAATATAAACTAATAAAACTAAAACATAAAAATGGAAACATAGGTGCAATACAACATTTTGAAGATATATGCAGCTTCTTCAAATTCTAGTAGTAAAATTAATTCTAGTTATCGTTTTTGAACCTCATCGTTGCAGAAGATATATATGCAGCTTCAAAGCGAGAATCATACCACTAGACCAAATGCCCAACCAATGGAGTAATGTATTTCCTTAGTTAGAACAATGTGAAGAACTATATATATGAAGGGGTAGATAGGATCATTTTTTAACACCAAGAATTTAAAATAAGACAAGATAAAACTGTCATTTTTAAGGATGCATATATCTTTCTGGACTTCTTGTGTTCTACTTAAGTGCATTGAACAAAGTTATTTTTGTAACCTGTGGAAGTCCAATAATGGCCTACCTCAAGCCTTTGTAAAAAATTTTAGAGAATTTTTATATTTAACTTCACACTTGCAATAGCTTTGCTGTCAAAGTCAAAGCATCCTACTTTGGTTTCTCAAATGTATTTTTACTGTTTACTGTCACTTTCTTTCCTTTCTGTCAACGAAAAATATTTTCATTTATTTTACATTTACAACAAAGAAATTCATTCTAATTTTTTATTTATTAATTTTTATTGTTATAATTATATGTACATATACTCTCTCCGTTGTAGTTACCGTGTTCACCTTCATTTTCGTATGTCACACTTATTCTATCATTTTTTTTGAAAAGTATTATACACTTTAATTTTATTTTAAATTTTTTAATTTTAATTATACTAATGAGTTATTTCAAATTATTTTATTAAATTATAATTATTTTCAATAATACAGTTTTAATTTTTTTTACGTCGGTAAATGGGACATCATATTGGGGAGGGAGGGAGAATTATTTTTTAATTAATTAATAAATCATTAGTATAATTTGTCAATATTGTGATTTATTAATAATTTATGGAAACAAAAAATTATATATTATATTTTAGTAAACTAATTTTAGTTTTTATTTTTTATTATATTATTAAATAATTTTTATGTTGTATTTTTATTATTATGGGTATTATTGATTAATTGAAAAAATAATATGTAAAGATAATAATTACTTTTTTTTAAGAAAATATCACATTACATTAAAAATATAAAAAAAATACTATTAAAATTAAAATAGAAACAAATAACTTAATTATTCATCCAACCAAATTTTAATATAATTTTATATTATTTAATTTTGTGAAATTTATAGTTATATTTTATTTAATAAATTAAATTATTTTTTTAATATTGATTTGTTTAATAAAATTAAATAAGTCAAGGTTGAACAGTACTTTTCACTGAGACTATAAAAGATTTTGAGATATTCTTTATCTCAGTTTCATGGTTCTATAAATAACCCAACCAAGTCCTAACTACATACTTACAAAATGGCTATTTGTATTTATATATTTTTAAATTAATAAAATATATTTAATATTAGTATTAAGGTAGAATAATTTTTTATTTTATTTTATTTTTTTTCTAAAAAAGCAGACACAACCACAATTAATGTTATGAAACTATATAATCTTTTTGTGTCGCAATTGACACCCTAGTTAGGACATTCTTCATATATAGGTGGACTTTGATGTGCAAAGGAAACTTTATCTAGCCTACTTACTGATTTCATAATAATATTGCTTTGGAAGTTCAATTTCTTTTACAATATTTTTGTAATTTTATTTGAATTTAATTGCTTTACTGCTATTAAATATCTAAAGTGTCCGTGTGTTTGGTACAGAGAATTGGCAGCAGAGAAATGGATTGTTTGTTTGAGTCACAGAAATGAAAGTTGAGAAATAAATCATTTTCATTTTTCTATTTTCATTTCTCTCCTATATTTAGAGAAATAGAGAGAAATGACGTTCCAATATATATATTTTTATTTTTTTTATTCTTTTTTATACTATTTAATTTTTATAATTATTTGTATTATATTATTTCAGTTTTACAAAAATTATTTTTAATTTATCATTCAAGTATTTAATTTTTTACAAAAATTTATACTAAAATATATCTTTCAAAACTTCGTATATAATTTATAATTTTTTGTTTTAAAAAAAGTCACCATAAATATTTTTTTCATGATTCTCACTTGCTAAAACTTTTTTTTGTTAGATTAATCATTTATTCTTGTCCGGTCCATTCTTTTTTTTTTTTTTTTATATTTCTCAACTGAATTCTCTATTCTACCAAACAAGAGAATTAATTCTCATTCTCTTCTCAATTCTCTTTCTCTCCAATTCTATTCTCTACTCTCATTTATCTGCAATTCCATTCTCTGTACCAAACGCTCCCTTAGATCCCTGAAAACTTGGCTTTAATATATGTATATCATTTCTTGTCTGGTTGTGCAACTTAGTTTTTCTTGTGTGATTTTGATACATGAGGATTTATACCATTGGCAACTAGCAATGGATAATGCCTTTATTATGCTTAGATGTTGGAAATTGATATTATCAACAATACTCCAAAAATTGCTAGAGGGCTTCATGTGTGCT